TTAAAATTAGAAACGGTCATTTAATTAGAAGATCGATGAGAATTTAAGTATAAACTAAGAGATTGATAAATAGATCATGCGTCTCCGTACACAGTACGCACAACTTGCGTATTGGAGTAGTGCAAGGTAGCATAATCTCAAAAGTTCAACACCTGCTAATGATTAAAATCAATTAGGGCGCTCTCAACTGACCGATAACGAGCCTCCACCAAGCATACCTGAAGGTTGCTATGATTGTGGAGATGGATTTTATGATCCTAAAACAAGAGTTGTAACCGATTACGATGGAAAGTTCTTAAGAAATGCAGGTAAATACGGCAGTGATGTATTTCGATGTATATTTTGGTCGTTTCTCACTTCACTGTATACTTGAAGAATGCATGATATCGATCTAAAACGAAATCATTTATTTACTAATGTAGATGATGCTGAGGATGAATGGATTAGGTCGAAATGCCGTAAAGGCTGGGATGAATTCATTGGCTATCGATCGCAATATGGTTTATAAAATTATAGTTTTAATCGTATGCAATAACTTATAAAATGATCTCGAAGGTATACGAGAAAGGTATACTTACAACATGACCTACCGATTCTATAACGACAAGCTTCTAAAAGCCTGTATTTACTTTGTACATTGTACAAGTAATGAGTCTACTATATATTATATACTGTACTTTGGTGCGAAGATATTTTAGTAATTATTTTCCAATTTAAATTATCGATTTTATACGATGTTGACATGCTCCTGGCACATATTCATGGATGTATTCGCACATGAAAATAAACGAATTGTGAGAGTAATAATAAAAAATTCGACAGCAACTCGTAACATTTCCTTATAAAATTTTAAGGATATTTTAGAGATTTGCCCACGCTGCAACAATTTAAAATCGATCAACTTTGATTATACAATTTTCTTATATGTTAACGCTACAAAGTTGGTAATAGTGAAAAATAAAAGATCTCTTTATATCAAATTGACTAATGCATTTTATAAACAACTTTAAATAATAGTAGTTGTATAATTAATATATTACGGGTATAAGTTGATTTTCCATATGCATTTAGCTGCAGTAATTGTATAAAATACTATTTGCAGCATGATAAAATACAATACTGTACTGGAAATCGTAATTTCCAAACTGCTCTTCAGATATTGAAACTAAACCTTTCAGAGCTTCAGAGCTTAGCTTTATGAACGAGAAAAGCCGCCTTGATTCTTATTGAAAGCCTTCAGAAGAGTTTGATCTCATTACTAACATCATGCAGTACCACATAGCAACGTAAAATTTACTAGCTTGTTAGTTGCCCAGTTAGAGGAGCATTTGCCTTGCGAGGTCCTCATAATTGATGAAGGAAAGTTACA